AAGAAAAAAAGGTAGTTATGAGGGGGTTTTTACAAAGCAGAAGTTTTAAAAAAAGGAATTATTGGGAGAAAAAAGAAAGGAAAGAGGTGGTGAGAGAGCAAAAGGAGAGCAGATGAAAAGGTGGAGAGGCACTGTCAAGAAATTTAAATAAAATAAGAAAAAATTTTGGAGTGAGTTAAAAAAGGTTAAGAAAGCCAGGAAAAAATATGGATTTGCTTAAAAACAAGTGGGGGGAGTTATAGATGGGGGGAGGTATTGGTAGATGGGAGAATATTTTGGGAAACTTTTAAAATTTTAAAGGAAAAACAGGGCAGTAATTTCATGCAGGTGGGGAGGTTCCCTTTTTTAGGGGGTGAAAAGAGCGAATGTAAGTGTGGGGGAGGTATGGGGAATTAGAAAAATAAAAGGGGGGGTAAAGAGTGGATGGGGATCTGCAAAAATTTTAAAAGCGGGGGGGTTTTTTAGTGTGGAGGGGTTTGGGTACTTTTGTTTTAAATGTATGGAGGGAAAAGGTCCCTAGGGTTTGGGGAGAGCATGTATAGCCCCTTTTAAAAAAGGGAAAAGGGGGGACAAAAGAACTGTTAAAATTATGAGGAAAAGCTTACTGAGTATACCAGGGAAAATGTACGGTAGGGTTTAATTGAAAAAATTAGAGGTAAGACGAATTAGGTTTTCGGTGGCAAGGAGGTTTTGGTGGGTTGGGGGTTTAACAAGTGTTTTTCATTGAAGCATATAAATGAACAGTATTTGATAAAGGTAGGGAATTTTTTTTTGCATTTATGGTTTAGAAAAGGTATGAAGAGTGGATAGAGGAGCAAAGTGGCAGATGTTGCAAGTTAGGAATAGGTGGTAAGTTATTAAAGCTGTAAAGAGTTTTTTGAGTAGTAGGTCAGGTTAGGGTGTGTAGAAGAGAGGGAGCTATTTCCCCGGGAAAAGTGGTTTAGACGGGATTGAATGTACCATGGTTGTTTAATTTTTTTATAGATGGGGGTTTTTAAGGAAAATAAATGAGGGTGTTGGGAGAGGGGGGGGGATTAAAAAATTGGGGGAAACAAAATTTAAAATGGGGTTGACACAGTTATTTTTTCTGATGATCTGTCTTTTTGGGGGATTCTAAAAAAAAATTGCAAAGGTTAGTGGATGAGTTTGGGAATGTGTGTAAAGGTAGAAAGTTGAAAGTGAACATAGAAAGAGTAAGGTGATGAGGGTGTCAAATGATTTAGATAAAGAAAAATTGGATATCAAATTGGGGAGGAGGAGTATGGAAGAAGTGAATGTTTTCAGATACTTGGGAGTTGACGTGTCGGCGGATGGATTTATGAAGGATGAGGTTAATCATAGAATTGATGAGGGAAAAAAGGTGAGTGGTGCGTTGAGGTATATGTGGAGTCAAAAAAACGTTATCTATGGAGGCAAAGAAGGGAATGTATGAAAGTATAGTAGTACCAACACTCTTATATGGGTGTGAAGCTTGGGTGGTAAATGCAGCAGCGAGGAGGACGGTTGGAGGCAGTGGAGATGTCCTGTTTAAGGGCAATGTGTGGTGTAAATATTATGCAGAAAATTCGGAGTGTGGAAATTAGGAGAAGGTGTGGAGTTAATAAAAGTATTAGTCAGAGGGCAGAGAGGGGTTGTTGAGGTGGTTTGGTCATTTAGAGAGAATGGATCAAAGTGAATGACATGGAAAGCATATAAATCTATAGGGGAAGGAAGGCGGGGTAGGGGTCGTCCTCGAAAGGGTTGGAGAGAGGGGGTAAAGGAGGTTTTGTGGGTAAGGGGCTTGGACTTCCAGCAAGCGTGCGTGAGCGTGTTAGATAGGAGTGAATGGAGACGAATGGTACTTGGGACCTGACGATCTGTTGGAGTGTGAGCAGGGTAATATTTAGTGAAGGGATTCAGGGAAACCGGTTATTTTCATATAGTCGGACTTGAGTCCTGGAAATGGGAAGTACAATGCCTGCACTTTAAAGGAGGGGTTTGGGATATTGGCAGTTTGGAGGGATATGTTGTGTATCTTTATATGTGTATGCTTCTAGACTGTTTGTATTCTGAGCACCTCTGCAAAAACAGTGATAATGTGCGAGTGTGGTGAAAGTGTTGAATGATGATGAAAGTATTTTCTTTTTGGGGATTTTCTTTCTTTTTTGGGTCACCCTGCCTCGGTGGGAGACGGCCGACTTGTTGAAAAAAAAAAAAAAAAAAAAAAATATATATATATATATATATATATATATATATATATATTATATATATATATTATAATATATATATATATATATATGTCGTGCCGAATATGTAAAACTGGTCAATTAGCAAGAACTCATTTAAAATTAAGTCCTTTCTGAAATTTTCTCTTATACGTTTAAAGATATATTTTTTTCATTAATGTTAATGTAAAAAAAATTAATTTTGCACCAAAAGGTTCTTAGAAAACTTACCTAACCTTATTATAACAAGAGCAATTTATTTTAACCTAACCCAACTAAATATATTTTAAATACGTTTACAATAATTTAATACTGAACAAGCACAATCAAATATATTTTTTTCGTTAGGTTCAGAATGATTTTGGCGAAATTATTGCATACACAAATTTTCACTTGTCCTATATGGCAAGATGAGCGTTGCTATTTAAGCCAAGATCGCAAGTTCTGCCTATTCCGCACACATATATATATATATATATATATATATATATATATATATATATATATATATATATATATATATATATATATATATATATATATATATATATATAAATTATATATATATATATATATATATATATATATTATATATATATATATTATATATAAATATGTATGTATGTATTAGTAAAATATAATAAAGATAACACGGTATTTTTTATTTCAGTTGGAAATAGTTGGGCAGTGGGAGAGGTTTGTGACAGGTGACATGAAGATAATTGCACAGTGACTGTAAGATCAGCTCAGCCAGGGGAAACAAATTACCTCCATTTGTTGATTAGCTGGAGAGAGAGAGAGACAGAGAGAGAGAGAGAGAGAGAGAGAGAGAGAGAAATGAGCTATGATATGATAACAGCTCTTATCTTTATGTGCATGTATGTATGTATATATTATATATATGTATATATATATATATAATATATATATATATATAATATATATAAATATATATATATATATATATATATATGTATTATATATATATGTGTATATATATATATATATATATATATATAAATATATTTATATATATATATATATATATATATAAATATATATATATATATATAATATATATATATATATATATATATATGCGTGTGTGTGTGTGTGTTTGTACTCCACTACATCACTTGCTCGGCTATTCGACTTCCTGACAACTCTATGACTGAAGAAATACATCCTAACATCCCTGTGACTCGTCTGAGTCTTCAACTTCCAATTGTGACCCCTTGTCTCTGTGTCTCCTCTCTGGAACACTCT